GAGACAGCAGCAGCCCAGCCAACACCTTGATGGTCTTCTGTGAGCATCACTGAGCAGAGGACCCAGCTAGGCCCTGCCTGGGCTCCTGACCCAGAGAAACTGTGAGATACTAATATGTATTGTTTTTAGCTGCTAAAGTTTATGGTAATTTGTTATGCAGCAATAGATAACTAATACACTATCCTAGGTCAGATTAAATGTCCTTGGATTAGCATTTCTTCCAAGTCCCAGGTCCTGAATGTGGCCATGATTTTTAATAATGAAAGAGCCATGGCATGGAGATTATCTGTAGTTCAAAAAATCACACTAACCAGGAATATAAGCAGAAAGGTACCAGTATCACTCTTCTTCCTTTTCTTGGGGAAAGAAAATACTGGGAAGTGGGAGTCATTTCAATCCCCGCCCCCAGCCCATGGCCTGACATCACTTCCCAGGTAGTACTGATGGCCTCAGAGGCCTTGGGTTTGGCCCAGCCTGCGACTGTGGCGCTCTGCCTTGGGTTGTTATTCATTCTTATCTGGGCTTCCAGCCAAACCCAGTTGGCAAGAGTCATGTCCAGTCTCTCAAGGACAATTTTGAGTCAATTTTCTGTACAATCACAGGGTGAGCAGTAGGATAGATGGTGCCATTGCAGCATTGAATGCACCTGAAGGACGGCCTTTGCAACTGCGGGACCCCCACGGGGGTTGGTTCAAGGGGCACATCTCCCACCTCAGTGGTGCCTCCCTCGTGAGCATCTGGGCCCTGGTGAGTTGTGGGTATAGAAGTGTCCTTTTCTTCTGGGAGGGAATTAATTTCATCCTTGAACTTTCGTTTTTTATAGTTGTGGTTGTTTGCCAACTCTTGTGATTGGTTCACATTGGTTAAAATATGGGGTATTATGGGGTGGGGGAGAAGTAGCATATGCATTAAACTTTTATCCTGTCCCTACTCTTTTTTAAAAAATATTTTTTAATTTTATTTTTTACCTTTTGGCCGTACTGTGCAGCATGTGGGATCTTAGTTACCCGACCAGGGATCAAACCTTCACCCCCTGCATTTGAAGTGCAGAGTCTTAACCACTGGACCGCCAGGGAAGTCCCCCGTCCCTACTCTTGAACAGGGGCACAGATCCTTGAGGCATCGGCTGTCTGCCATGGGCTACAGGAAACCCCTGGATAAGTATTTTTTTTTCTAGCTTTATTGAGATACAATTGATATAACGTGTTAGTTTAAGGTGTATAATGTGGTGACTTGATTCATGTATATATTGCAAAATGATTACCACAATAAGGTTAGTTGATGCATCCATCACCTCACACAGTTAGCACTTTGTTGTTGTTGTTGAGACCATTTAAGTCTGGGATGTGGTGAGAACATTTAAGAGCTACTCTCTTAGCAACTTTCAAGTGTGTGATACAGTACTGGAGTCTTTATCTGCTGTGGGGTAAGAGGTAGGGATAAAGCCAGCGTTGAAAATGAGGAAGGAGGGGATAATAGATGAACTGAGGATGTTAGTTGGTTATTTTCGTTAAAAGTTTAGCCACATTATGTTATCATTGATCAGATACTAGCTGTAGCATATAGAGAGAGGTAGACACTGGTGCTAAGTTGCAGAGAAGGAAGACACTTTGTGGAGTGTAATAGACATATATGTATGAGAAGAGATCTTGAGCTGGGAAGAGACTTCTTAAATATGATCCACAAAGTGCTAACGATAAGGCAAAAAGTTGGTAGGTTTATCTACATCAAAATAAAGGTTCTCTAACTTCCATATGTGCAGAGACCACCTATTTCTTAAAAACACAGATTACCAGAGATTCTCATGCAGTAGGCAAATTGTATAAATTTACAATGAAATAAATGATATCTGAAAAGGGTAATAAATACTCACTATGCATCATAGCTTAATCATTTTACTATGGTTTACTATCATCTGTGTTCTTGAGGTTATTTTTAGCTCTTGTATCCATATTTAGGTAATAGTATGTAATGGTGTGCTAATATGCATCTTTTCCCAATTCATGTTGGTTTTGAAATCAGCCATGGTGGGAGTATTTACACCAGGGAAATTGGCAAAGGCCACAAATCAACATCCTTTCTCCTCTTTTTTAGAGACCTGGTTGTTACACATTTACCAGCACTCCACTGGATATGGCCCTTAAAGAAATCAGGAGTGAGGAAAATCAAAGCATGAACTATCAGAAGGGCAGAGAAAAACCTTGTATATTTATTGCCCAAGCAGTAGTGTATAGTAGAGTACAGTAGGGGTGAAGGTGTGGCAACTTGACCCAATTTTTTTGCACCCATATGCTCTCCAGATTCCCTCAAAGTCTAGCCGGGATGGTTGCAGCCAAAAGCAGAAGTGGTGGGAAGCAACTCTGGGGATGGTTCCCAATTCCATGTTGAACTGGCAATCAAATGATTCTCTTGCCAAGATGAGATTAGTCAATGGTGCCATCTAGTGTTGAAGAACAGATTGGCTCCAAAGAGGAACGCTCAGAGAAAGATTTCTCTTGACTTAGGACTTGGAAACACTAACTAATGCAGTTTCCTCTTCCTTTCTTTTCCTCTATTTTCTTTCCCTACTTCCATTTCCCAGCTTCCAGAGTCATTTTTTATACCTACTCCCCCAATGGGAATAGCCATTAGTTTTGGCTTTTTTTTGTTTTTTTTTTAAAGGATATGAACTCAGTGCTGCTTCCAGGCAAGATAGATGAATGCAGAGAGTTGAAAGGCACAGATATGGAAATCAGCACTTGCCTATATTATGTATAATAATTTGGAATGAATTTGTTTAGGGAAGGTGTAGAGATATTCTCTTGTGGGTCACATAAATCAGATGCTTCTCTACTTTCCCAACACGTCCCATATCCTTCCTATTTCCTGTGTCAGGGGCAGATGGAGTAGTTTGGTTAGCAACAGCAAATTCATTCTCAGGTCTTATTTCTGCTTCATAGATCTTTTCGTGGGAAAATGGTAGAAGAAAAGGCCTGTTCATAACTTCCAAGTGAATAGGATCTTTCATTCTTTTATGAGGACCTGTGTTAATAAGTTCTTTTATTTGAAGTGAAGGTGATTGTGCACGGCTAAGTTCTCACAGCTGGAGGGTCCTCCAGAAATGGGAGTGAGATTCTGGGGTTGCTAATTCCTGCTGGAAAGGTTTACTTTGCATCTGGCACATTGGAGAAGTAATATGGTCGTCCTTCAATGATGATTTCTTCCGTTTGTCCCTTTAGTGATTGATGATCTGAGTAAAATGAAAGAACATTTAACTAATTAGCGGGCCCAAAGCTGTTGTTCCACCTGATAGTATCCATCTTTTCACTAAGGATAACTGACCTCTAAGTTTAGGGATATTTCAGATGTTAGTTATCAGACAGAAAACTAGTAAGGAATAAATGCCCTCCTCTCTGGAACGTGTGTAGCAGGAGCAGCCTGAACTCCCTAAGCCATCGTGGAATGTTTTGAAAATGGAAGGAAGGGAATGTCATAACTCTGGATATGAGGTCCAGAATTGCGATCAGACTTTTTCTAGGATACTTTTTCAGTGTGTTCAAAAACAACAGAAGTAGTTTAGAAATCTCATCTTGAGACTGCTGAGCTATCCAAACACATGGCTTTATTTTAGGTGAGGGCCATGGGTTTTGCAGTCAAGTCAGCTGCTATTTGTATAAGCAAGACTTCATCAATATTCTTACAAAGCTCGCCCCCCTTATATAGGATGGCAGCAATTTTGCCTTAGAAAATGAGCCTACGTGACTCTAAAGGCTACAAGTGAATTTTGTTAGAAGTAGGAACTGAAGAGCCTGTTAGGAAGGTAGAAGTCAATTTTGCCACATGTGGCTCAAACTATTAAACATAACAAGGCCTGGGTATTCCCATGTTCTCATATGCTCAATAAACATTACATTTATCAAACGGTGACAAACTTAAAAGCCTGTGGCATTGTCCTGTTAGACCCTGGGAAAGCTTTTTAAGTGAAGATCATACTACTAAAGGTGGATATGATCCTGTGTGGTCTCAAGTTGCCCCCAATCCTACATAAAGGACCCACTCTTCGGGATGACATTCTCCTCCTTCCCCCTGCCTAGCCTCAGAATCATTGCATCCCAGCTCTTTCCTGGCCACCGTGGAGAAAGTTTCCCTTTCTGTCTGTTCTAAACATGGCAACCAAATCTGAAAAACTTCAACACACTCCTATCATTTTAAATGCATCTCAAGCTTTGAACTATGTATTTCGTATTTTTTATTCGGTTAGATGTAACAACCATCTGACTTTTGATTGCTGCAGTAGACAAAACTTGGTTCTCTAGTTTTTTTCCCTTTACTATTTCTTTTTTTCTCAGAATCTTAATGAACCTTGAAGAGACCACTGATGGGGGTGCTCCTATTTATGTAGGATAAAAGCTAGCTCTACATCAGCCCCCAAATTTCAACTAGTTCTTTGACAGGCAGGTCTGTGGATTAAAAATGGATGCTTCCAGTAACTTTGAGGCATTATAACATTATGAAGTGGTTTATGAGATTCCACTGACTTAGTTCTAGTGCTATTATATTCTTAAATATCTGAACATTGACAGTCCATATGGTGCATTAGAGAACTCTTAGGGAGGTTCTAATTGCTCAAGAAAGGAAATTAATATCCAAGTGACAGCTGTAAGTCAAATGATTAAGTATCTTGAACACTTACTTTGGGGAGACTTTGTTCCATCCCCACTAACCTTGTGGCCTGATGTACTTAGACCTACTGCAATAGTAAGTGAATGTGTCTCTTATAAAAAACTGTTCTAGGGACTTCACAGATGAGGAATCTGAGGCATTAACTAGGACACAGGTCTTCTGGGCTCAGTTGAGAGCTCTCCTCCCTACAGCTGTATGTCTTTAAAGGAATGAGGTGCTTTCATAAAAGATTCAGTCTAAAATAATTCTTTAAGGCAGCTTCAATTAAAGACTGTCTTGGTTGCTTCTGAAAACAACGGATCACCACATCCAGAGTCAAAAACGACCAGAACACAGACTTAAAAACCAAGCCATTTAATTGTGTCTTCGAAGGTAAACAATATCTTGAGATGGATCCCAAGCCCCGAGAATGCCAGAGCTACGGGTCCAGGAAGTCCCGTGGGGTGGTATTCTCAACAGAGTCCAGAGGGGCAGACCTCAAGGTGTTCTGAGGCAGAATACTTATGGAATTCGTGCATTCCATTCTGCAATTTTGCAGACTGCCAGAAACAGACCCCAAGAGTCTCTTGAGATGGGGAAAATTCAACTCCTGGTCTTACAGATGAAAGCAGGAAGAGTACCAAAAATGTTACGTTTATGTCTCTTCACTTTTCTCACACAGTCTGAAGCCTGAGCTATCACATTCCCAACTCAGAGCAGCCTAAGCTGCAGTTCAGGTACAAGATTAGTCCCTCTATCCAGAGAGCTCTCATCAATACAGCTTTTGCACTTAAAGTGAAAAGAACCCTCTGGCGGCACAATGAGTTAGTTTGTAAGACTTTAATTTACAAATTAAAAAGCTACATGTTTTATTTTTTCTCCTTTTTCTCTTCTTTCTTTACATCACTCTTTTCCTTATCTTTCTCTTTGTCATCTTTTCTATCCTTTTTGCTGTCTTCTTTTTCCTGCCCTTCTTTCTTCTCTGCATCCCGGTTGGCGATCTTGTTGTTGATGAGGTTGTGCAAGGCGACCACGGAACGGATCAGCGAGGCCAAATACACTACCACCATCTGGTCATTGGTCTTCAGGTAAAAGGCCTTGACAAACTCCTGCAGGCTGACATCTGGCAGCAGGTTGAAGACGTCCTGCAGCTGGTAGATGATCTGATGGTTGATGGGCAGCTTGCCTGTGGCCACTTTCTCCAGGTAGCTCCTGATATCCAGAAGCTTGGAATTGAGTCCCTTCAAACCATGAACCTGGTTTGTGATCCGCTGGGAAAGGGTGCCCACTGTAGTGTCTTTGATGTCTCTGTAGGAACCCACAAGAAAAGGCAGGAAAATACATCAGTGTCCTGTACTATCACGCAGATTTTCACATTCTAAGGAAATACTAAGTTTGTGAGGAGGGGCAAGTTTTCCAAAGGAAAAATGTTACTTCCCCATTTTATAAAGATTTGAGTAAAACTGCCTTAATCTTGTTTTCATTTGGAGGAATATGTTTTATCTTTCTCATCACAGGGCATTTTTCAAAAGAAAAGAGAGAGATAAAATGAAATCATTTTCACTAAAAAAACAAAAAAAAACACCTCTCTACTTCAAGTTCCCTGTTCCTAAAAAGGGTGGCATTTTCTCCACCTGCATCTATATGATGTTGGGAGAAGCTTTTAAATCAGTCAGCAGTAACTTTTTGAACTGGAAGGAATCTTATTGTTTGAAAAAATCTATGACCATTTCAAGTAAGTCAGGGTTATGTAAGCAGAGGATTTAAAAATAAAACCCCAGGGCTTCCCTGGTGGCAGAGTGGTTAAGAATCCGCCTGCCAATGCAGGGGATGTGGGTTCGAGCCCTGGCCCAGGAAGATCCCACATGCCGCAGAGCAACTAAGCCCATGTGCCACTACTGAGCCTGCATTCTAGAGCCCGCGAGCCACAACTACCGAGTCTGTGTGCCACAACTACTGAAGCCCACGTGCCTAGAGCCTGTGCTTCGCAACAAGAGAAGCCACGGCAGTGAGAAGACCACGCACGGCAACGAAGAGTAGTCCCTGCTCACCGCAATGAGAGAAAGCCCACATGCAGCAATGAAGACCCAATTCAGCCAAAAATAAATAAATAAAATATAAATTTAAATCCATCCATCCATCCATCTATCCATCCATCCCAGTCCAAGATGCAGATTCTCTGCAGAAAACTGGCTAGCTACAGTCATTGAGAAGGAGATACACTGAAAGAGCACACGTTTGCTTTTGAATAATTCACACATCTGTTCCCGTCACAGCCAGCATTACAGCTTCCAGACAAGGTGTGCTGTCCACAAACTCATAAATCATAACTCGGGACACTTTAGAGATGACCCAGGACTAGAACCCAGGGCTCCCTATTCCTGATACAGATCTCTTCTTTACACTGAGCAGCTTCTTGGGCTGCTGCTGATTCTGATGCTGTCCTAAAGTCTCACCGTAACAAGTGTTCAACTCCGACTTCCTCAGCTTCCTCTGCTCCAATTTCACTGGTCACGTGCTCAAATGTTTTTGAGGTTGGAGTTCCATCCTGGGAGAGGAGAATTAACTAGTTATTTACTTACAAACAAATGAACAAACTGGCGCATGTTCCTTTTCATGCCTTGATTCTTCTGCTTTAAGCCAAATCACTTTCATGGGTGTCATTACTGGCTTTTTCATGGCAAGGGTGGGTAAAGTTTGCTTTGAAAGCTTTCAAAGCACTGTGACTTCTAAGCTGAAGTCACAGTGGTCCTGCTCAGGGACGAGATGTGGTGGGGAATCATCATTAGTTTATTTCTAAGGAAAATCTTGATATTCTCTCAAGCCTGCAGTAGAGATGAACATCAGGGAAGCCTTGATTCGGCTAAATTTTAAGGACTTATAAGCATTCATTCTAAAATAGGCAATATTCAGAACACCTGTACTTGAGGCAAGCTCATGTCAGAAGATACAGTTTTTAACCATCTGTTGTCCCTTGGGTCAAATAGTCAGAGCACCAAAGCAACGTGGTTAGAATAACTGATTTTCTGGTGACCTGAATTAGTCAAGGAACCCATTAGTGGATGTGGTTTGCTGTATCACTTAGTGATTTCCTGATGGGACTCAGGAGAAACTTTTATCAGATCTAGTGCCAGAAGAGGCTGTACATCTCCTGTAAAGGCTGTAAAATGTGTGCAAGGCACGACAGCACAGCAGTGAGTGCAGACTCTAGCCAGGCTGCTTAGATTCAAAGCCTGGCTCTGCCATGTGTGATAAGGGAGCAGTGAGATCTTGGGAAAGTCACTTCACTTACATTAAGTGGTATAAACATTAGCTGTTGTTATTTTACCCAGGACAGTGTGAATCCTACAAACGGCATCTTCCTCTTGGCTTTGTATGCTAGGATGGTCAGAGCCTTCAACACTTGTGCAGGACTTCGTGGCATGTCTTTTCATGTACTGATTTTCCCTGGCTTCATCTTATTACAGGACCCTTACATCCCCTCCATCCTCTTTTAAAAGATCTTGTTTCATTGGTGTGTGTGTGTGCGAGTGCGTGCGTGCATGTGCATGCGTATGTATAAGCACCTCTAATTCCTTTTTGAAAGAGGCAGGGTAAAATTTAACTTATAACAACTGTATCAAGACCAGGGATGAAAGTCTTACTGCAACTAGGCAATAAATAAGCTCTCTGGTAGCAAGGCAAAGAGAAACAGGAGCATAGAGCTCAGTGCAAGGAACATCTGCAGGGAACTAACTTAACAAAGCCTTTTCCAGATTTTAAAACTGAATATATGGATAACCATAAGGAAGAAAGACAGCCTTTAGTCTGTCCGTTCAACTTTGGAAATTCAAGAGTGAGCTCTTTGCACACCCTAAGTGCAAATATTTTACGCTCAAAACAAAACTCATATACAATTTCACATCAAATCCTACCCTAGAATTTGAGTTCAATTTTCTTGGAAATAGAGAAAAGCTATTCTGGCAGCTCTTCACGTCCATACCCAAGAAACAAGCTAACAGACAACATAGCTGCTACTGAATGCCATGGAGCTGACTATACAGGTGTCAAATCATACAGATGGGTTTTGCCATCTAGCTCCTGGCAGCTCTGACTTACTCTATTTGAAAACCTAGGATCTAGTCTATAGGGATTGGCTATAGACTAGATAATATAGTCACTACATAGGTGGGCCAACAGTGGAAACTGCATTAGATTAAGACCAAGCTCACCAGGCTCTGCATTTACTTTGCTGAGAACATCTCTGGGCAATCATTTGACTACTTTGGTCTCCATTTCATTTGTAAAAGGGGACTTTAGATTTCTATGGTCCTCTCTATTTCTGAAATTTGGTGATTCAAATTTGGGGGGAAAAAACATAATATCAAACTACTGACAGAAACCAATAACCTTTTCTTTGTTATAAAGTATTTGTTGACTTGAAAATGGAAAAAAAAACCCCAAAACCCAATGGCCCTGAAAGTAGCAAATCTAATCTCCTAGGCTCACAGCAAGATGACTTACATCATGAACTTCTTCCACCGAAATATATGCTTCTGTGGGCAGTCCCAAGTCCTTTGGTTTTACATCAATGATGACCAATACCTGGCAGAAAAACAAATCATAACAAATCACCTCATACTGAGCACGTAAGGAATAACTGCGGCCATTCTGATGATTACCGAAGCTTTTTCATTCATTCAACCAGATATAAGCCAGAATTTTCAGAAAAGAAAATAACTTTACATTTCAAATTATCTTATTTGCCCTGCTCTTCAACCCCATCCATTAACAAGCTGAGAGGTAGTATAGTGAAGTTATCAAGCAGAAGAAGATTAGAGTCAAGACAGCTGGCATTTTAATCCCAGCTCCACACTTAGAAGACCTTACTAACCATTCTGAACCTCAGTTTTCTCACTGTAAAGAGGATAACAATCTCATACAGTTACTGAGAGGATTAAGGAAGATAACTTACATACCTAGCACTGAACAGATGTTTAATTTACTAAATACACTGGGTTACCGTATACTACACAAAACACTGCAAATTAACACAAGCTTATAGAAAAAAGTGGTGAAATGATTCATTATCCAAATCCTTCCTAGGATGCTTTCTTTTTCTTGAGTTAGCTGGCAACGAATATGAGTCAAAAGTTTTAAAGATGGAGTACACTTACTGAGTTAGGGCAGTATCTTTTCATGAGTTCATTGATGGCGATGTCATTCTTGTGTAGTTTAGGGCCTGTGTGGTACCACCCAACTATTCTTTCTCTGGCTGGGAAGGAAAAATTAGTGGCTTTGAATTGTTACATAAAGATCTATATATTTCCCTCAAAAAGGGTAAGAACTCCAGTAGTTATGTTCTCTAGCTTTTACAGAAATTCCAGACATCTAAACCTTGACATACCTATGAAATCTAAAACTCAAAAACAGGATTCTCAGAAAATAAACAGCAGGGGAAATCTAGAGATATACATATCTCAGACTAGTTTAGACCAGTCATACATGAAACAACTAGAAAACAATTCCAAGGCAATATATAAACAAATTCAAGTTCATGTCACATAGATTACATCTCTGAGTGTTGTGGGAATAAACATTTCCAAAGCAATGTGGTTGCTGAAATGAAATAAAATGAAAGTGACACACGTAACAGAGATATTTACCCTGGTGGTACTAAAGCTCTAGGGGCAGGTGGATTTTATTTGACCATTCTTTGCTTTTCTGCTGTAGAGGGCTAGCTCTCTCCCCTGAAGCCTAGGTGGTCTAGCTGGCCTTAAATTGCTACTCTAGTTTCTCATTTATTCTACCTCATTCCTCTACTACCACTAGTCTTACTTCAGTCTAGCTAAGTGAAAGGGCCTTTGACATTAAACAAAGGAAAGTGAATATTTAGAAAAGACATTATGGGCACACATATACCTACACACACGCGCGCGCGCGCCACAATGCCACCTACCATTGACCTTCTTAAACATTCCATACATGTTTTCCAAATAATCGTGGTCTAAAAACCAGACAGAATCATCTTTGTCGTCTTCATCAAAAGGGACTAGAGAGAAAAAAACCAAAAAACAGTTTAGGGTGCTACACAGAACTCTAAGGGCACATATCACAACTGTAGACCCCTACGCCAGATTTGATCCATGTCTTTGGTTTGTCCAACACAGTACTAAAATTATTTTTGAGTTGCTTTTAGTAAAAACTGGAAGATTTCACATACATATCCAGACCTCCAGGTTCTCTGGAAAAACTGGAAGACCAGCAACAACTGGCTAGAGCCAGACAGAAGCAACCCCCTTTGAAAAGGACACATTCTTCAGTTTGCTAAAAGCTCCATCACTTCCTAATATTCCCGTCTGGCAAATTACATTACTGCCTGATCCTTTTAGACACTGGAGTTAGTGACTGCTAGTCTAGCAGCCATGCCAGGAATTATTTTGTTGTTCTGTATTATTGTTGCTTCAATCATAAAATATATGGATACAGTCTTATAAAGATTTATTAAACAGTGTAAAACATAAGGTCTTTATCTCCCCCTTGCCTACCCATAACCATGGTTAATAGTTTAGTACAACGGGTTGACAAACTACACCCGCTGCCTATTTTAATAGTTTTACTGCAATATAGCTATTAGTTTGTCTACATACTGTCTATAGTTGCTTTCCTGCTACATTAGCAGAGCTGAGCAGTTGCAATGGAGACTGTATGGCCTGCAAGTTTTAAATATTTACTATCCAGCTCAGTGTGTATCCTTTAGCCTCCCTTTTCTATACTTAAACAATTCTGAAATAGAACTGCTTGGTTATAATAAAAAATGGAGACCACGAGAGTTTCTTTCTTTTTAAAAGTTAACTGACATTTTAACCATACTCAGAAAATGTAAAATTTGCCTATTTATTTTTTTAAAAACTGAGGTATATTTGACAAATTTTTCTTTTACCTGCAAAACTGTTGGATACATCGAGAACTTTCTTTTGCCACGACCCCAAAAGCACACCAACAACACGCTTCTGGTTTCCAACCTTGCCTATTCTGAATGAGAAAACAGAAGATCAGTCTGGATGGGCACAGACAGAAGTGGACCAACAATAAGATATCCAACAGGAAATATCAATGGTACAGATACAATTTAGCTTATCTGGGAACTAATCCCACTAAACAAATATAATGGGTTAGTCCTTAATAATTCTAATAAATATAATGGGTAATTCGTGAACTATGGACACTGGCAATTTCACTGCTGACTGCAAAGAAAGACATGCTTGGAAAAAAATCTCAAACTTTATAGAAATTTAAAACGGAGAAAATGAAAACTCCCCAGATCTTAAGGTTTTAAATGTTATTTGACTGGTGTTTGAAATCACATTTAATTTTATTTTTTCCTCTGCAGCTTACCTTTCTCTTTTAAATTTTCCCCATCTTCTCTGTCCTCAAATCTTTTCAGGGATAAAGATGCTAAAGTTGAACCAGTTTTATGGTCCAGCTTGCCAACTCTTCTCTGGAGCATCTATGTCAACAAGCCCCAATAGATGTTATAATTCTTTGTACCATTTAGGGGCTCAGAAAATGATTCTGACCCAGAAGCGTGTGTGTGCCATTTGTGGTCTCTGAATGGCTTAATTATGCAGAAGCTGGAAGTGAGCCAGTGACTAATCATACTGGGAGGAGGGCTCAATGAACCAGAAAGACTACTTCAGAATATTTATTTCCATATCAAACCTCCTCAATGATTTTTGTCCTAAGGAACTGCAAGTGTTTCACTTATATCTCATTTCATTGGTCATCATGTAGAGAATTCTCCTTTAACCACTAACAATTATAACATACAGAAACAATACAATTCTATGTTCAAAGCAAAGACAAAAGTCACTGTGAAGTGAACTACAATTCCTTAACAGTTGCTGGTTTCATACTGATTTAACTGTATTTATCTAAACATATGGTTTGGCAAATTTATAAATGCTTACTATATTTAGGGTTTGGACCAAACAAAGTTAAGGATTCTGTATTCTGGTGGTTCTAATTTTTTGGGAAATCTAAGTTCAAAGGAAACTTCCACACTCATGGGCTTTTCTTTTGATCTATAAAAATCCATTTGCGTTTTAAAAAACCCTGCAATTGTCTGACACAGCAGCTTGCAGTGTCTGCCTTCACTATGCCCTTAACAAGTGTTCGCTGAATTTACTGAACAGAACTGAAAAGATGCTTGCCCTCTTAGTACCTATAGTATCCTACGGGAGAAAAATACTAATCATTGTACAGTGGGAAAGCTCGCATATCCTGTTAGGCTAAGGGTGCTACAAAGCAATGGAACCGAACTGGGGACCCTAAACCTCACAGGAGTCTTGAGTTTGGTTTTGGCTCTGGTTGAACTGGGAGTTGTACAAAGCAAGTTGCAAGATGATGGGCACTTAGCAACTATGACTTTACAGCAGATGCTCCCAACTGGGTCTTACAACTTTCCAAGTCAATTAATTATCTTGTAAAATTTATGAACACGTGTAACAGGTCCAGCTGGAGGAACAGCTCAAAAACAAGCAAGCGAAGGCGGAAGAAACATCTGTGGGATGTTTTCTTATTCATTAATGCCAACATCTCCAACCGGTCTCATTTTTAAAAGAAAAACTTATCAAAACTTAAAACATCTACGTTTCAAGCTATCGTCAAACCACAGTCCCACTTGGAAACTTTCGCAAGTTATATTAAAACCACAGTTCTTCCAGGGAGTCCTTCGGAGCGCTGAGTACAGAATTTCGGTGACGGCCTTCAGAGGCAAAAAGTGCAAGTCTGAAGGGCTTTCCTACCAGACACCGAGTCTTTCAGGCGAAAAGGGGCGGACGAGGTGACAGATGGGCACGAGGCCTGGGGATCAGGGCCAAGTGAAGCCTGCCCCCCCATACTCTGGCATCGTACGGACTGGGTAAAAGGAACGACAAGCCCAGTTCATGGAGTGCCGGCTGGACGGCGGGGGAGACGATGCCAGGTGACTTGGGGCTTCGTGAACGGAGCTGCTCTGGGCCCCTCGGTGACCCAGGGCCAACCCCGGTGCATCTGCGCCCCCGCGGCCGCCGCGCCATCCCCAGCGCGCCGTGACTCAGCAGCGGCGGCGCCACCGGCCCCGGTAGGACGCCCCGTGCCGCCCGCTCACCGATTGAAATGATCCACCACACTGAGCAGCACCAGGGGGTGGACCACCACCTTCTGCACCGCCAGCTCCGGCATCGCGACACACCCCGCCCGCCAGGCCCTGCTCCCCGCGACCCGCAAACACCGACGGCCAGGGCAACAACGATTCTCGGGGATCCTCCAGGCCCGGCCCCTCCTCTTCCGGTTGGGCCGCCGCCGCGGGGCTCCTTCTTCCGCTCCCAGAGCGCCGCGCGTGTCGCGCTCGGATTGTCGCTCCCGCCGCCACCTTGAGGAGGCGAAGTGCCGGGGAAGGCGGGACACGCCTCGGGTGACTGGCTTCGAGTTTCCCAGGTCATGAAAGCTAACAGGACACTGGAGACTGATAAAGGTTGACCTCCTGGTGTTTGGCCTGTACTGTCACCCGCTGCGGCTTTTCGCCTCAGTGCCTTACTAGCTCACCTCCCCCTCCCTCGCGTCTGAAGACTGGAGAAGATGCTAAGAAAAATGTAAATAGTAATAAGTAATATTTCCACCATTCAGAAAATGTTCACTTTCGCTTCTAGTCAAAATTTTCCAGAATTTCTTAGAGGAACTAACTTTAAATCTCTAGCATTAGGGCATTCCCTTAAAGTAGGTTTGGTAATTTGTCTCATCATTTTATTGTCTGGGAATTTCCCCTTAATCCTTACCATGGACACTTAGCAAATAATCAACCTGTCTATATTTTCCCACCTTTCTTTATATTACTTACCATTTAACAAGGGTTAGAAGAATGCAGTTTGTGCCTAGAGTTAGATCATTCAGATTGATTTTAAAATAAAAACTCACAAAAAGTTTGGCGAAAAGATGGAAAGCAATAAGGAAATATGTTTTCATAGTTAGCTGGGAAAGAGAAAAAAGAAGACTAAAAGGGGAAATGTAGGAAAAGAGGACTTGAGCTTATTTGTGGAAGAAGGCAAATGACTTAAAATCCATGCAAGTTTAGTTTTCTATCTGACTTTAACTTGCCATTTCTGTAAACAAAAACAATACTTCAGCAGCGTGAATTATTTATTGTTTATCCTGTTTTTAAACACCTTCTACCTTCCCTTTATCAACAGAGGATCTGAACTCTGAAGAATGACAAGGAGACTTTTGCTCTGAACCTTAGCCTCCTTCCAGTATAATTAGGGAGCTTTTGATACCCTTTCTGGGCGCTACCCCTCACTTTCATTTCATAAACTCTTCCTACTTTGGGGAACACTGTTTTGCATCTTCCTCATTTCTTTTAATATTTTTGATTTGACTATGAGATGATTGCTGCTACTTACGACGATAGAACTTTTAAATTAAGGAAATGTAAGTCAGCCCCATTGTGTGATGTGTTAAAGCATGCTTGCTGGTGTTTAGTGCCTGGTTCAAAGTAGATGTTCTTGTTTCATTTCTTAAGTGATGCTATTCAACACAGTGTAGACATGTAACTGTTATGAAAAGACCTTGGAAGGGTTTTCCCCCCTAATTTTTAAGATCAAAGATTGATTTTGATTTTTCTTATGTGTCAGGTAAGGCATAATAATTGGAGTCTAACGGAAGCATGTTTTTGGACTAAAATATTTAGAGGATAAAGAAGACAACTTGAAATCATAAGGTATTTTTCATGTTGTCCTATTTTTTCTTTTTCTTTTAATGGAACTGACTTGAAATCATAACTAATTTCATAGCCACTATTAGGGGCTAAACTCATTCAGAGGAATGCAGAAGGAGATATAAGAAATCTTTCTTTTGTTCATTTAATTCTGGACTTTAAGAGGATCTGATGAGAGCATAAGGATAATACATTTTATTTTCCTTTGACTGTTTTTTTTTAAAGAAAGAAATGTAATTTTTAAATTTTTATTTATTTTTTATTGAGGTATAGTTGAGGTATAGTTGATGTACAATATTATATGTTACAGGTGTACAATATAGTGATTCACAATTTTTAAAGGTTATACTCCATTTATAGTTAATATAAAATATTGGCTATATTCCCCGTGTTTTACAATATATCCTTGTAGCTTATTTTATCATAATAGCTTGTGCCTCTTAGTCCCTTACCCCATGTCTTTTTTTAAAAAAATTAATTTATTTAATTTTGGCGTGTTGGGTCTTTGTTGCTGCATGTGGGCTTTCTTTAGTTGTGGCGAGCGGGGGCTACTCTTTGTTGCAGTGTTCGGGCTTCTCATTGCTTTGGTTTCTCTTGTGGCGGAGCATGGGCTCTAGGCGCACGGGCTTCAGTAGTTGTGGCACGTGGGCTCAGTAGTAGTGGCTTGCAGGCTCTAGAGCGCAGGCTCAGTAGTTGTGGTGCACAGGCTTAGTTGCTCCGTGGCATGTGGGATCGTCCCGAACCAGGGCTTGAACCCGTGTTCCCTGCATTGGCAGGTGGATTCTTAACCACTGCACCACCAGGGAAGCCCCTGTCTTTCTTTTTTAATGTTAAATTCTCCTTTTCCCAAATTTATTGAGATGTAATTGACATATAACGTGTAAGTTTAAGGTGTACAATGTGATGATTTGATACATGTATGTATTGCAAAATGATTACCACGATAAGGTTAGTTAACGCTTCTGTCACCTCACGTAATTACCTTTTTCTTTTTGTGGTGAGAACATGTAAGAGCAACTTTCAAATATATAATACAGTATTGTTAACTATAGTCACCATACTGTACCTTAGCTTTCCATCTTATTATTGGAAGTTTGTACTCTTTGACCAACAACTCGCATTTCCCTGACTCCCAGCCTCTGGCAACAACTATTCTACTCTCTATTTCTGTGGATTCTGCATTTTTCATTTCCACATGTAAATGAGATCATATAGTATTTGTCTTTCTATCTGTCATTTCACTTACCATAATACCCTCAAGATCCATCAATTTTGTCACAAAATGGAAGGATTTCCTTCCTTTTTATGGCTGAGTAATATATATATATGCCACATTTTCTTTATTGATTCATGCATCAACAGACACATAGGTTGTGTCCATGTCTTGGCCATTGTGAATAATGCTACAGTGAACACAGGGATTCAGACATCTCTTTGAGATAGTGATTTCATTTCCTTTGGATACATACCCAGAAGTGGGGTTGCTGGATCATATGGTAGTTCTATTTTTAGTTCTTTTAGGAACTTTCGTACTCTTTTCCATAGTGGCTATATCAATTTACATTCCCACCAAGAGTGCACAAGTGTTCCCTTTTCTCCACATTCTCACCAACACTTCTTATCTCCTGCCTTTTTGATAATAGCCATTCTAACAGGTATAAGGTGATATTTCATTATGGTTTTGATTTGCATTTCCCTGATGATTAGTGGTGTTGAGCATCTTTTCATGTACCTGTTAGTCATTTGTATGTCTTAAAAAAAAAATCTCTATTCAGGTCCTCTGCTCATTTTAAAATTGGATTAGGTACTGTAATCCCTTACCTGAAATTCTTACCTCTAGTGAAGGTATTTTTGCATGTGGATAGTTGTTCCAACTGATGTTTTGGGAGAGGATGTGTGCTAGAAATTCCTATGCCACCATCTTGTTCATATCTCTCTAATCCACCTTTGTCTTTCAATTTAGGGAGATAGCCCCCCACAGACCCTAGTATCTTGAAAGAGTTCTTATTTTTTTAGGTCCAGAACATGGAATCATGGTCCTGCATGCATGGCAGCAATACTTTGAACTCTGCAGCCTCTGTTGATCATCTTACTAGATTTGGAGAAAAAAAAAAAAGGGAAGATATACCACCTTTAGTCTAAGCTGTATTCATTGCTGGGGTTCAGGCATCCTTGTGGGTGCTGGAAGTTTACCATTTTCTTTGGTGATGTCTTGTTGCCCTGATTCCTCGTGTTCCCTATAGCCTTGTATAGATGTCTCTACCTTTGAAGAAGCAGTCACCGCTTCCAGACTTTCTGGACTTTCTGGACTGACTTCACCTGTGAGTGAAGGCAGTCTGGAGTGTGCTATGGTCCTGGGTCTAGTGGTGTGGGGTGCTAAGTATGAGGGTGAGTAGAGCCTCTGGGTCCAAGGGTGTGTGTCTTGTTGGTTCAGGCGGCTGGGGTCCACCACACCAACAATTGCATGATCCTTGGTGAGAGCTGTGCAGGGTCTGCAGTAGCTGCAAGGGCTGTTGAGGTCTTCAGTGGAGCCTCCAGGTCCAGCTGCTACAAGTGGAGGTTAGCAGTTGTGACCAGATCTGGCAGTGTATTCATGCTTGGCTGTAGGGACCTGCTGCAGGTGCCTGTGTGGGGGCGGGGCCTGCCGCAGACACACATGCAGTGGTGAGGGACAGGGCCAGCAGCAGGGGCTGGGGCTAACTGCCGACATGTGAGCAGCTGAGGGGACCCTGGCTGTTGGTGTAGACCCATGTGACTGCATGGGCTAGCTGTAGGTGTGTGCACTAGCCAGACGATTCTTATTTTTTTATTTTTCCTGTACGCGGTCCTCTCACTGCTGTGGCCTCTCCCGTTGCGGAGCACAGGCTCCGGACGCGCAGGCTCAGCGGCCATGGCTCACGGGCCCAGCCGCTCCATGGCATGTGGGATCTTCCCGCACCGGGGCACGCACCCGTGTCCCCTGCATCGGCAGGCGGACTCTCAACCACTGCGCCACCAGGGAAGCCCAAGCCAGACGATTCTTAATTGCTGGTAGTGGAACCCTACTCTAACCAGCTGAAGTGAAGGGAAATTCATTATCTCATGTAACAGCAAGTTCAAGGGCCCTGCGAGTTCCAGGGGGCTTACTGATGTTTCTCTCTCCACCTTTCAGCATCCTTCAGTGTTTTGGTTCCATTTCCAGACAGATTTCCTACTAGTGGCGGGGAAATATTTTGATGGCTACAGATAGTCACAGTTTTAAATATTTAAAGGAAGGGAGGTTTTTTTTTTTTTTTTTTTGCGGTACACGGGCCTCTCACTGCTGTGGTCTCTCCCATTGCGGAGCACAGGCTCCGGACGCGCAGGCTCAGGCCATGGCTCACCAGCCGCTCCGCGGCACGTGGGATCTTCCCGTACCGGGGCACGAACCCGTGTCCCCTGCATCGGCAGGCGAACTCTCAACAACTGCGCCACCAGGGAAGCCCAGGAAGGGAGGTTTTGAACTCCAAACCTTTATTTACGAAATTTGATTGGCCTTGCTGGGACTGGGAGGCACTCTGAACTGACTGCTGTGCCCAAGGGAATAGAGTTTTCTAAATGTCCAGTTTAGGATCAGTTTGGAGATGGTGCAACTGTGATGGATCAGCTCACCATGACCACATGAGTGGGGAAGGAAAACGGGGATGTAATTGGAAGGGAGGAATGAATGCTTAGCAGGCAAAAATAAGTCTATCTTGTGATATAGAGAGCTTAGCATAGTTCTTGGAA